ATCAAAAGCCTGTTGCTGCTGCGGCCCCAGGCCCACATACTGGACTTTTTCAGCAGGTCTCTTAGTGGTCGTGTTCTCTCAGCCAAGTGAGGCAGGAAATTCCCCAGGTGGTTTTGTCATTCCCAGGAAGCGTCTAACCTCACTACGTTACTGGGTGCTGGCATAGCTTTTACAGCACTCACTTTATCAAGGGTCAGCACTGACACCTGATGCCTCGATGACCTGCCCAGGAATTTGATCCGGCTCTTTAGAAAACTCACACTTGTCGTTGAGCGTCACTCCCGCTTCCTGCAGTCGTGATAGTTACTCTCCACAATCTCTCATCATGCTCCGTCTGTGTGGCTTCCCAAATGAGCACGTCATCCATCTGACACAGAACACCCCACTAGGCCCTCCAAGATGCGTGACATGCGCTTTTGGAAATGTTTGGTGCTGACGAGATCCCAAAGCACAGGCGATTGTAACAATACCGCCCAACGGAGTTATGAAAGTGGTTAACAGAGTTGACTCCTTGGACAGTGGAATCTGCCAAAAGCCTGCGTTGGCGTCTAGCTTTGAAAACACTTTGGCCCCAGCGAGCTGTCCTAAAAGTGTGTTCAACTGGGGGAGTGGGTGCTTTCTCTTCATAACTGATTTGTTCAGCTGTGTGAGATCGGGTGCATAATTCTCACTTGCCTGTGCGTTTCGGCACCACCACCATAGGCGCACACCATTCAGTGGGCCCTCCACCTTTGAGATAACACCCTGCTGCTCCATACGGTCCAGCTCCTCTCTGACCTTTGGCAGGAGTGGGAGGGAGATGCGCCTAGGAGTTGAGAGGGAGAAAGGCTGAGCGCCTGGTTTCAGTACTATGTTGTACTCGCCCTCCATTTTACCAAGTCCACAGAAAAGCTTTGGGAACTCCCTTTTTACTGTCTCTTTGGAGTCAAGGCTGACATTATTTATTCTTGCGACCAACTGCAGTGCCACTGCGGCAAGCCCGTCTAGCAGTGGTGTACACAGCCCCTCCACAACGTAAATTTCCTCTTTAGTACTTTTACTGTTTTTTCTGAGAGTGGCGGTGAACTTGCCCTTCACATCCAGACGAGTCCATCCTGGCCCCAGCAGAACCCTTGTTGACTTTTCCAGCTTGCTGAACTGGCCCTGGTTATACAGCGTTTCAGATATAGCGGTGACGTCCGCGCCAGTGGCGATTTTAAAGCGTGCTTTGAGATTCTCGACCTGTATGTCTGTCATCCATGGGCTGTCATTTGCATCTGCTGACAGTGAACCCAGAAATGCAACTTCCTCACCAGTGTCCTCAATCACTGTAGCTACATGCATTTCACACATTCTTTTGGTTTTGCACACTCTGGCATAATGTCCCTTTTTTCTGCAGTTATTGCAAATTACCTCTTTAGCTGGACATTGCTGTTGGCTATGCCATCTTGAATCACCGCATCTGC